GTGCGGTGATGAGAGCAGGTGTGTGGGCCAGCAGCGGGAGCCCGCAATGAGCGTCGCCGCGGCGAGAGAGAGAGCAAACAAACCACAAACATATTGCCTAATAGAGGGTCGACCAGCGGGGCACAGGGACCATGACAGTATCTGAATATACTGAAAGCTGATGCTACAGAGGCTCTGGCACCAGTCGTGTATTTCAAATGTGCAACATCACAGCACGTGATGGTGCTGAGGAAGCAGCACTAAAAAGCTTTCTATACATACTCAGCTGTAGTGGCTAATAGTGTGTGTGTGTGTGTGTGTGTGTGTGTAAATGAAGGCTCTCGGTGAACTGACATCAGCAGTCACTGCATGTTGCAAAAGCAAACAAAAGCAGTGACTCACTGGTGTGCTGGGTGCTCGTGTTACAGGCTCGTGTATAGACCTGGGTTCTTCCTGTTTGGTTTGAAAATGAACAAAGGGAAGGATTAAATATGTGGACTCACCTGAAGCTCTGTGTCTAACAGTGTCCGTGGGTTTTGAATACGAGTCCTGCCTGGATCTCATCCTGTGGGAGAAGAGGACGGCGATCCTACAGGGCTATGAGCTGGATGCTTCCAACGTGGGAGGATGGACACTGGATAAGCATCACATCCTGGACGTGCAGAATGGTAGGTTGTACATTATATTCAGCGTTACTGAACTATACACAGCAATATGTGACAAACAGTCCTACTAATATTAATGTTCATGCAGGCTTTAGTCAAGAGAGTAGGAAAAAGTCGCTAACTTTGCCTTTCTTACTCGCTCCTCACCAATCAGATCCGATCATTTGTAATGAAGGGCTGTCGGCTGTCTATGCTTTTAACTGACTGGTTTGAATATGATGCATGCAAAGTCCAAATGAGCAGACAGCAGCATTAGCAGCCACATTTCTGTAGCTTTGTGCTGAATTTGTCTTGTTAAGATGCAACGATCCCGTAAAGCACGTTTATAAAATACATGTTAAAGGCTTTTCACCCTTCACCCTCTCCAGCAGCTCCCTCGCTGAACTCTGTCTGTCACCCGATCCATCACATTGCCATTCACCTTCTCTCCTTGCGCTCCTCCTGGGCTTTCAACACCTCCTCCCCCCATTCAGTGCATATGTGTGTGTATGAAAAAGAGTGTGTCTATTAGCAAGTGTGATTTGTGATCTCTGACAACATGTGTTCTGCTCTCCGTGGGTGTGACTGTGAATCTGGAGGGACAGAACTGCAGTGCAGTCTCTTTGAGAGCAAACACACTGCAGGAATAATTGTTTGTGTGAGAATCCAACACTGCTCAGTGTTTTATTCATAGTTCAGCTG